GAAACCTGGTAATCCAACGAAGCATATCTCCATTCCCACGGTGCAAGTTCATGAACTGCTGGAAGCGGTCGAGAAAAACGTTGGCTGCTCCCTTCACGAAGAGCGGCCGCAGGAAGCTCGTGAAGTATTTCACTCCGTTGGCTGCATCCTTCAGGCGGCCCCTGTCGAGAAGCCTTTTGTGGATTGCTGCTTCACCTTCTAGCCGATTTCTCAAAGCTGGTCCACGCTTGTCAGCATCAAGCTCAGTGATATCACACCAGTCATCGATCGCATCTTCATAGGCGAACCAATTGCTTCGTCCATCATATGATGGCGGTACTTTTGTGGTCAATGACGATGATTCGTCGCATAAGATTTACTTCCATGAAAGAAATAATCTTCATCTCCTTCGCCATGCTCAAAGATAGTCGCAGAGTGGCTAGCCATTGAGCTGTCCTCGGATCGAGCCCCGGGAAACTACTCTTCCGGATGTCTTCACCTGTGTGTCGTGTGCCGGAAAGACTCCGGTCACCTTCACCCGTGTGAAGCACACCGGGTATTCCGGTTGCCTCCACGTGTATGGAGCGTACCAACGGGTACCTCCACCGGTGTGAAGCTTCCCGTTTCCCCAGGAGCTCCGCTACCACGTTGAAATGTAACGTGGGCGTGCATCCTTTCGCTATGCGTACAGGAACACAAGCACTCAGGAGTCTCTTTTTACCACAGGCGCACATCTGTAGATCTCTGCTGCACTAGAACCTTGAGCAACAGGCATGGATACATGCAAGTGATACGTGAACCAGACAGGCACCTGGATGTGTAACATTCAGTGTTTCAACCCCCCCCTCAACAACAACAACCCCCCCACGCCTACTTATCGCTCGGTTTCCAGCAATGCAGGAATCCAATGCACTCCCCAGGGAGGCATCGGCAGTCTCGGCAGCATCGGCAATGTCGATGGCCTCAGACACGCGGACAGAGGCTCACGCACTGGTCGCTTCCTCCTGCCAAGCAGGGCAAGCAAGCGTCGGCATGCCAGGTTGAGGAGCCTTCACGTGAGGCTTGTGAGACGCACTTGTGCAGCGCCCAGCATCTTTCGCTCTTGCAGGCCTCAGTGGCGTCCGTTTCTATGGAGGTTCGGCGGGTTAATCACATCCGGGTCAGTCTTGCTTGGCTGGGGTGCTAAATCGCGCCTACACGTCTGAACTCATTTGTCTTCTCGGAGGTTGGCCGGGGCAAGCCACCAGCCTGCAAGGACTTGGTGCATGTGCCGGGGTCTGGCCATTCTCCATCCCTACACCCCAAACCGAGAGCATTAATCCTGCGTAAATCATAAACCCGAACTTGTACACTCCAGAGTCAAGGGGCGTCAGATCGTGTCGCCCGTACGAGTGCTGCACCAACCCGAGACCCGAACCCCCAAAGGTGAGTACCAAACGTTTTCGCTTTTGCCGTGCTGTCATCCAGCTACTCGACCTGCAACCCCGCTACCCCAAATCTCCGACTGTCCATACGCAAAGTCGAGCTACTCACATGGTGACCTCACTTGGAGACGAAACGGACTTCCCAACGACTTGAGCAGCAATGCAGGAATCCAAGGCACTGCCCACAGAGGCATCGGCAGTGTCGATGGCCTCAGACACGCGGACAGAGGCTCACGCACTGGTCGCTTCCTCCTGCCAAGCCGGGCAAGCAAGCGTCGGCATGCCAGGTTGAGGAGCCTTCACGTGAGGCTTGTGAGACGCACTTGTGCAGCGCCCAGCATCTTTCGCTCTTGCAGGCCTCAGTGGCGTCCGTTTCTATGGAGGTTCGGCGGGTTAATCACATCCGGGTCAGTCTTGCTTGGCTGGGGTGCTAAATCGCGCCTACACGTCTGAACTCATTTGTCTTCTCGGAGGTTGGCCGGGGCAAGCCACCAGCCTGCAAGGACTTGGTGCATGTGCCGGGGTCTGGCCACTCTCTGTCCCAAACCTCTACACGCCAGAGAGACGACACGGAGTCAAGGGATTCAGAGTGGTTGCAGAGATGGTTCCAACTTGAGCTGCTCAATTGCAGGAGGTCAGGGAGGCGTCAGCATTGCGGACGGAGGCCCGGTTGGGATATGGCGCATCAACTTTGAGAGAATCTGTGCTGCAACTGCTGTCAGGTGGGTGTGGCGGGTGCGGCGGCGGGTGCGGGTTCGGCGGCGCCGAAGCCGAAAGCTAGGACGGCCCGGGGCCCAGCGGCCCGGCCCGCGGCGGTTCGGGGGGGCGGCGCGGGGCGGCCGCCCGGAGGGGAGCGAAAAGGAGAGAGAAAGAAGAGAGGAGAGGAGAGGAGAGGAGAGGAGAGAGTTGCGGGAGGGGGGGGTTGGGGGGGGGTTGGGGGAGCTCAAAGCTCAAGCTCCGCTCTGCGGCAAGCAGAGGGCTGCCAGACTCTTACGGGCCATGGCGCCGGACTTCGAGACGAGGCTCTGAGATGCTATGCAGAGCCGACGGAAGAGAGAACTGCAGACTTGCAGTGACTTGCAGCTCAGCAGAGCTCAGCAGAGGCGGCGAGTCGGGGTTCCCGGGTCCACGTCTCTTAAATTCCCCGCAATGCCGTCCGAGAGATCGGAGGGAGCTGTTTAACGGCCACTGTGCCCGACGTGCCCGAGGTTCTGGTGTCGAAGTTTCAGGCCAAGCATGCGAAGTTGGCCCGCGAGGACAAGAAGGCACAGCCTAACAAGAAAGGGAACAGGGAAGAGGAGGAAGTATGAGAAGATGGCAGCTCGGGAAAGGGAAGGTGAGGAGAGAGAGAAGGAGGGAGACAAGGAGGGAGGGAGGGCTTTTCCTGGAAAGAGCCCACGCCAGGAAGCCACGGCCACGACGGCCACGACGGCTACGGCCGCAGCGGATGGGAGAAAGGCTGCAGCAAGCGCAGTTCCAGTTCTTGCAGCTCTCGCAGCGCGCCTTTGCAGCCTTTTTTGCAGGGATCCCCTAGACCCTCCTTGCCGGCGCAGGTCGTCGCCAGGCTCTCAGGAGCTGACAGGTTGACAGAGTGGGCTGCAAGCGCCTTGTTCTGAGCGGCTGAACAGCCTTTTGAGGAAAAGGAAAGCCCCAAGCGGGAGAGGGAGATTCTGCAGGCGTGCAGCCGGCTGCAGAACTCTGCAAAGATCGGATCGGATCGAGACGGATCGTGACTTGAGCGCGCATGTCAGGGCCGCGGGCCCCTGCTCTTGAAGAAGGCGCGCGCGCGCGCGAGTGGGGCGGAGCGGCGAAAACCGAAACCGCCGTGGCGCTTGTGCAGGGCTCCCAGTCGCTGCTGGCGCCCGCCGAGGCGAGGCTGACAACAGCTGCTCTGCTCTCTGCTCTGCTTTGCTCTGCTTTGCTCTGCCGCTCTGCTGTGAGGAGAGCGGGAAGGAAGAGGAGCTCGGGCCCGCCGACGGGCGGCGGGAAAGCCTCCAGCCTCTCTGCCTCTCTGCCACTCTCGTCTCTCGTCTCTCGTGTCGTCTCTCGTCGTGGAGTCTCGTCGGCTCTTTCTGCCGGGGTTCTCGTGTGCTCGGCGCCGCGCAGATCTGCACAGCACCGAGCAGACGGGAGAGGGCGGCGAGGGCTTTTGCTTTTGGCTTTTTGCCTTGGCCGGAGGAGAGATCGGCGCCGCTCGCGCCGAAGATTGACTCTTGACTGCAGTCTGGGAAGATACTGCCCCATTTTGGGAGAAAATTAGTTTTCCCTCACTCCCACCAACCTTCCCGTCCTGGGGAGCACCACACAACATCACTTAAACGAATGCGCGAACCTCAGTCGAAATAAGTTTGGATTCGAGAGGAAACATGTGTACACTGTCACCCCAAAAAAACATGCTGCATGCCAGGCGATTCAAGATGTTTGTGATCCTGGCATGCGCTAAAGCTAGACTGAAATTCAACGTGAATACAACTACGCACGCAGAAGATCTGTCACCACACGATGTAGTAGTCAAATGTGTACGACGCCATTAAACATTTTTCTCCAATATGTTGCAGTGCTCGAGCCGCGCAGCCGCGCTTCTTTTCGCGCCGACGAGCGCGATCCCATCCGGTTTCACTTCGCAGCCAGCCCACACCCGGCAAAGCCACGCTGGACAGCAGCTGACAGCTGCAGATTCAGGAGCTGTCCAACGTGGCGGAGGAGCGCCGAGCGCTCTTTACGGAGGACAGTCCTGGCGGAGAGCACTGTTTGCGTGTGATTGCACTGATTGCATGTGCATGGCCATGAGGAGCCACTGCCCGTCCACACTTTCGTGTGCTCCTTAGACCGTTCCGTTTGCACCGCTGGCCGTTCACCCTGGGGCTCTTGGCTTTTCTTGCGCTGAGGCCATCAGCCAGGAGCGGGAAGGGGGACTCAGGGGTCAAGGGAAGATTCTCTTTCCTCAACCCAACACCGCACTTCCGCTCGCATGCTCTGGTGCTGTGAGGACGTGAAGAAGGAGGCGCTCTCGCTCGGGCCCTGCGGTCCGTGCCCTCCGTCTCCTCATACGGAGGGCTACGAAAGCTCCGGCACGCAGACTCCAAAGACCAAGGTGCGCCGAAAGTGTGTGGCGAGTGCCGCGTCTTGTGCCCTTCCTGCCTTCCCTCTTTGGCGGCGTCCCTGAGGCTGTTTCGGAGAGCTCCTCCGAGAGCGGCGGTGGCTCCGAGCAGATGGAGCGGGTCTTCTCCTTGAGCGCCCTGGACGCCCTGCTGCAGGCGCCCTCGCTCTCTCCTTCTGTTTCTGGTCGTTTGAGCACGCAGTCGCAGTGCATGGGAGGACCCTCTGGAGAAGGCGGACTTGCGCTCGCATTTACAGTCGGAGCAGCTGGACAAGCGGCCCAAGTACACGTCGCAGCACTTGGACACGCCCGTGGTGGTCGTGAGTTCGGAAGTGAACCCCTGGTCCAAGACCGGGGGCTTGGCCATGGTGGCGGGCAGTTACGGCTACGAGTTTGCCATGCGGGGCCATCGGACCATGGTCGTCTCGCCCCGCTACGGCGACTACAAGGACGCCGTCTACGTCGGCTACGCTAAGATCTGGCTCGACGGCCGCGAGCACGAGGCGGGCATTGCGTTACTGCTTCTGGCGCTCCAGAGCCGAGAGCCGAGAACCCGCGGCCGGACCCGGTAACTCCTCCCCTCTCTCATCCTCTCTCTCTCTCGCCCTCTCGCCCAAGCGGTCTCACAGCAGGTCCGGTACTTCCATCTCTACCAGGACCTGGGAGAGGGAAAAGGGACGGACTACATCTTCGTGGAGCACGAGAGCTACCATCGAGGTGGTCTCTACTGCGACCGGGACGGGAAGGAGTACGTGGACAACTTGTTCCGCTATGCCTTACTCACCGTCGCTGCCATGGAAGCACCCTTAGTGCTCAATCTCAGGGGCTCAACCTATGGTCAGGATGTGCTTTTCATTGCGAACGACTGGCAGACGGGACTGCTGCCCGTCTACCACCTCTACAAGTATCGCCGAAACCGCACCTATCTCAACTCCCGCTGCGTCTTCGTCATTCACAACATCGGCTACCAGGCACGCCTCTGCGCCTTTCTAAACTCCGTTCTTGAAACTGAGCTCTGGTTGTACGGATGCTCGTAAGAGGACTTCTTCTTTTGCCTTCAGTCACTTCCTAAGTCCATTGCAATTTCTTTTGTCATTTGCTGAGGGCAAGTACCGGCTCAGCAAATTCCCCCTCGACAGCTATTTGGGGCTTCCACCGGAGGCCATCGACCTGTTGCAGGGCGAGGAGAGGGAGGGGAAGAGCGGGTTAGGTTGAGGGGAGGGGTTGTAGCGGCCTGAGATGCGGCAGGATCTGAATTTGGGTGTGGACTGCATGAACCTTATGTCAGCCGCCATCTTGGCATCCGACCGAGTGCTGACGGTGAGTCCGAACTACGCCGTCGAAGTCCAGAGCCCGGAGGGCGGCCAGGGCTTGCACGAGATTCTCACGGAGAAGGGACGGCAGCTCCGCATGGCCGGGATTTTGAACGGCATCGCAGACGAGTGGGATCCCAGGACGGACCCACATATTCCCAGAAACTATGGCTTGTCGGACTTCTTGGAAGGCAAGGCACATTGCAAGAGCGATTTGCAGCGTTCCTTGGGTCTCCACGAAGACCCCGGAGCTGCTTTGCTGGGCTTCTGTGGTCGTTTGTGCTTTCAGAAGGGCGTGCACCTGATCACGCAAGTGATCCCTTGGCTCCTCACCTACGAGAACTCTGGCGTCCTGGGCCGGGTCCAGGCCGGCAGCCGAAGGTACATGTTTTCTTCCTCTCTCTCTGCTCTTTGCTCTTTGCTCTTGCTCTCTCCCGGTGCTAGCAGTAGGTGATCTTGATGGGCAAGGGCGACGACCTCTACGCCTCGCAGCTCTCCAACGCCGAGAACACCAACCGAGGCCGCGTCTGCGGCTACGTGGGCTTCGACCCCAAAGTGGAGCATCGCATGATGGCGGGCTGCGACTTCCTGCTGATGCCAAGCCAGTACGAGCCCTGTGGCCTTCCACAGATGTCACCAGGATGCAGCAAAAGCGCTTGCACGAGGCATCCGGGCAAAGGGTCGCTGCGCAACCTGAGGTATGCACAGGCCTACGGCACCGTGCCTGTGGTCCACGAGACAGGAGGCCTGGCGGCCTGTGGGCCTGGGCGGCCTGCACCGCACGGTTTTTGAAGTAAGGAGAGAGACGGAGGCAACGGATGAACAGCTTCAGTCCACTTTGGCTAACTGCTTTGTCCTCCAGTTGTGCCTCGAAGCAGCGCGCATCGCGCTGTGAGAGTGAGTCAGAGTATGAGTCAGTAAGAGTCAATGAGAGCAGCATGAGCTTAAGAGACTCGGCCCCAGACTGGGAGAAGGAGAGAGCTTTGAGCTTTGGCAAACGGCGAACCCGAATGCCCAACAAAGCGACAGAAGAGGCTCCAAAGAGGCTCCAAGAGTGTTCGCTGTGACCCCTGCTGCTTTCCGCCAATTTGGTGGTGCCCTCTCTCCAAGGGACGCTTCTAGAGCAGCTGAGCGCGCCCAGTGCAGCAGCGCATGCGCTTTGTTGTCTGTCGGAAGGCTTGAAGGATTCGGTGCTGGGCCTCTGGGACGAGGAGAGGGATAGGAGCACCGCCACAGGGCTCCTTGGTGGCAAACGTTATAAGAGAAGCGCGAGCCAGCACTGCACCGCTCCGCTGCGGATCGCGCCGCGCTCCGCTCTGCGCTCCGCTGAGGTTCCTCTTCTCGGGCTTCGAGGAGAACAACTTCAAGGAGAAACTCTACCAGGCCCCGAGCCCCCGCGGCAGAGCGGAACCGCTGCGCCGCTGCTGTTCGTCATCTCTGCTTGGGTCGTTTAAACTCTGTTCTCTCTGTGTCTTCTGTCGGCTCGCGGCTCGTGGCTCCACGGCGGGAGGCGCTGGAGGTGTATCACAAGAAGCAGGACCTGTTCAGGCAGATCCAGCAGAACGGCCAGAGCCCCAGAGAAGGAGCCTCTTTCTCTTTGCCAAGAGGCGCTTCACGGAGGGCTCTCTCTTTCGTCTCCTCTGTGACATTTTACCAAGACTCCGTCGGGGGGGGGGAGCTTGGGGGGCTTGCTGCATCCTTTCACATTGACATACTGGCATTGCATGGCGTATGGCGTTCCCGCCGCATCTTGCAGGCCTGCAGAAGAACTACTACTGGCCGCAGGTGCCAACCCCGCAAAGGGCCAAAGAGGAGAGAGGAGAGCTCTTCCGCATCCGAAGGCCATCGACGAGTATGAGCGGCACCTGGACTGGACACTGGAGGGGCCGCTGGCCTTCGGATGAAAGTGTGACCTTCGGAGTTTCTTCCGATGCCTTTCGATTCGCTCACCTTAGGGCGGCCGTTAGGGCATGGGCCGCATGGGCCTAGATCTTCCGGTGTCTTTTCCATTTTACCAGCGAGAAGTTGCCCCGAAGGGCGGCCCCGAAGAGCGGCCCCTTCAGTCTTTAGGAGGGGCCCTGTAGTAGGCGCCCTTTTGCCCTGGCGTCAGAGGTCGACGCATCAGGGAGTCAGCGCAAGGCCGCTGCTGTCTTCTGCCCGTGGGCACCAAAGGCACAACCGCACAGCCGCGCCGCTGGGCGAGCATCGTAAGCTGCAAAGCTGGAAACCACAAAGCCAGAGTCACTCGTGACTGTAGCCGTTGTATAGCCTAGGCCTAGGCCTAGGCTTTCCTGTCCGCATACAGCTTAAAACAGCCCAGCGCAGCTCTCCAAAGTGAATGCTCCAAGCCCTGGGACGTTTCATTTTTCCAGTTTCAAATTCGTACTTCTGACCGTTGAGGTCGAAGTATCGCAACTCTTCTACTCTTCTCTTTGATTGTGAGATGTGTGAGTTGCTCTCATCACATCAGGAAGCTCCTCGCTGCCTTGCAGGCCACACTGGCACGGCAAGGGCATGGAGTCAGAAACAGCTTCGACAAAGTCACTGATCGAAATCACATATTTTCTTTTAAGCTTTGCAGGCAGTGTTCTGAATCTGATGTGCAGCCATGCAGGACAAGGCAGAATACACGGATACACAGATACAGATACACATCACAGCAACTGGCGTGCGCCTTTCTCGATTCGGAAGAAAGCCGCTGCCTCGTTTCCCTCGCTAGGCCTAGGGCCCCCGAAGTGGACGGTCCAAGCCAGACCTGCAAGCGCCGCCGCTGCGCATTTCACTTTTCGCTTCAGAGAGTGAAGGCTCCAAAAGGGCGTGAAGGTGCTCAGCCGTGCGAGGATTTCTCTGTGCATAGAGATGCCGATGTCGATTCGAATCAGAGAGGCAGCGCAGATTCGCAAATGTGTGTGGCCGTCCGGCCTTGCCGGAAGCCGCGGGCTCTAGCATAGAGTATAGAGACCCCGCTGCTTTGCGAGGAAGTGCTTCTCTCGGGAAGCGGGTTGCAGGGAAAATTGCACGTTGCCATTTGTGTTGCCAGTCGAGATCTTACGTGCTCAACAATCCCAGCCCGACCCAGGCTGACGCCAACGCGCAGCACTTTGTGCCCGAGAAGTTTCCCTGGCAGGTGCTTTGCAAGGAGATGGGTGCGTGCTAATCGCACATCCTCTGCTTGTGGTGTGCTTCCCTTCATCGAACTCTTGAGGTCTGTAGCGACTTGGCTTCAGGCAAGGCCAGCGAGGCCTTTTCCCACGGCCGACTTGGCCTTAGTTGTGACACGTAGCCGTTTGGCGCGGAGGGCGGTGTGGCCGCCGAGGTCGCCAGCGATGATTTGGTATCGTGTGGTGCAGATGCCTTCGAGAACCTTACAAAGGTGAAGGTGCGAATTGGCCAGAAGCCCTGAACCAGGCACATCACTCTTCGCCGTGCGAGCCCGCTTCACACAGGCTCTCGTGCACTCTGCCGCTGTTATCAGGCATCAGGGAGTCATCTTGGCCTGTCAGATTCATCCTTTCTGCCCGCAGAGTTGCTGGCGAGATTGCAGTGTAGCATTCTGAGAACTCATCTACATCCAGGCATCGCGAGAAAATCTGAACTGGCCAGGAACTGCAGAGCTTCTTCTCAAAGATCCGAGACCACCAGCAGCATCCTGTAGTTAGTTTCGCGCTGCAGGCATCGTTTGATGGCGACTGTGGCCGAAACTTGTGTAGTCGCTTTGTTCACGACAGGTCGGTGATGCTCTGCGGAAGGGAGATTTCCCTGGAGTCCTGAGTGAGCCTCCCACGGACACTAGTGTTTTGTCTTGCGCCTGCAATTATGCAGCAAGATGTTACCCCCTCCCAAAGGTCTCTACATCGCGGCGGCAGTTGCGATGTCTGGCGTTGCAGCTGTGGCAGCTTGGTTGGTTTTATCAGATTTAGATGTGTGGGGATGTTTTTGCGGAGACATTAACACGCCGAGCAGCTGAGGCCAGACTGACATGCCTGCAGGGTTTGGCTTGGGCCCAAGATTGCCAAAAAGTTTGCAGGCCTCCTCATGTTCGGAGGAATCCCATTTTGTTTAGAGAGTGTAAGACATTACGGGCCCCATATTTTCCAGTCAAAATGCTGTTTTCTAAGAGTTTTCATTACAAAAACTTACAATCGTCATAATTTGCATACTAGTGGTTTTCAAGCTTACTTAACCCTGTTGCTCTTGATGCCTGATATGGGAAATACTTTTCCAATCAACATGGGATGCACGTGTGACGACCTTTCATTGTGGAGTCTCATGAAGACTATCCGATAAATCAATGCCACTTCAATCTTGTGGTTGTTCTTTGTGTCTCATAGTATAATCTTGCAGATAAATGAGATACAATGCGTCTGCGAAACCGTGCATTTCTCCACCCTTGAATGATGTACAAGACCGGTCAAACTATATGACTTTTGTATATCAACGTAAAGAATCGCTTACATATCCTACCGGTTTTTGCAGGCCCCATCATGTGCATGGTAACATATGATTTTGGATATAGACGTCCAACATATACTGTAGCATGACAAGTTGAGTTTGGCATCATACAGGCAGGTTGCTCAAACAGTTCCCACCGTCTCAAGCCGTATACATGCAGGCGATCAACTGGATCGTGTTACCGGATCCATTTGCATATGTACATATATACATATATGTGCATAGATGTCTTTGCTACATTCAGTTTCGATACCGTTTTTTCGTATGAATGCTAGCTTGTTTAGTGCAACCTCCTTCAAAAGCGTATTTATTGTTTGCGATTATTATTGCATTGGTTGTCCTTGTTTCGGAGCTCCCAGTCCAATAATTTGTCCAGTATTTGGAGCTGTGTGTGCGGAATTGTGTATTTCAATTGCAATAGCTTCTCACAGAAGCCAACCCAGAAAACTGAAAACCTACGACCTTCGAAGACAATCATCGCATGGATGTTGCTGTATACATCCTGACAGCTACAATGCTGGCTTATTCAGATTAGTGATCATTGCGGCTGAAGCCCACAAGCCCCCAAAGGATAAGGATATAATTGAGTTAATATACTTTTCAAGGAGATGGTGCTTTGCTATCATTATTGTATATGCAGACATATGGAGATCCACCTGCAATATTAATCATTTTCGCTGTCTTGTTGCTCATACCATCTAGTCATAAGTTGACTGCCGTGAAAACACATTATTTGCACATGCACACACAAACATACACCGACACGCACATACGATTGTCATCAGCTGTAAACGATACCGCTTGTTATATCTATGCTGCAGGCAATGCACCTGTATGCCGCAACCATTCTAATATGGTCTTGTTAAAGCCCATGACGCACTTCATCGTGTGTCTTGTGGATATCTCCGTAAACTAAATCCTGTTACCCAAGAAAACGTATAAGAACTATACTATGCCTAAAACCAACTTTTTAATATGTGACATCATCAAGAAGTCAAGAATCTCTTGTGGTGGAAGTAAACATGGCAGATTACATTGGCAGCTGCATGCCAGTTTTGGCAAGAGTAATGGAGCCGTCATATTGAGGCACCCAACCGGCAGCTGAACAGGATATTCGCCACATTCCTTCGATGTAAAATGCATGTTATGTGTTGAATATGGCCATATCAACATAGAGCACCAGGAAATTTCTTCAACATATCATTATGATATTGAGCCATCCGTATAGATCATCGCAGTATGTGTCCTTATAAGATGCCCGCATCGTTCGGGCTTCCCCCTTTACGCCTTCCGGCCGCGCGGGCAAGCGGGATTGCACCACATATTGGTTAAACCCCTCGGTAGACCTTTCTAAAAGCCCGGAGACTTATTCTCACACATAAACCCAATCTCGCATGAAGTTACAACAGTCGCAGCTAAGTATGAATAGGTCGCAAGATGCAGGCAGCATCTCATGACACATATCTTCACTATGAGATTTGACTTAGATGTCCTCGTGCATCCCGTGAGCTTGCCAAGCTCGTATGGCATCTCCCTAGCACCTCATGCTACATGCGCACGAGTGTGTTACGCCATATCATGCTATGATGCGCATGGTTCACGTGAAGATTGATACTTCACCATGACGTGCTCATGAGATATATTGTTTCCATATCTAGCCAGTTTTGGTATAGTGATATTCAGATTACTGCGAGTAGCCGATCCTGATCACAGGAACATAAACCAATAATAATTTCCAGTTGTAAACTCCCCGACAGAGCCCACCATGTTGCTCGAACATCGCACAAGTGGAATATTCAAACTCCCGTTTTCATGCACCTAAAAGATAGTCGGATTCGGATTCCTTACATCGCAACCTGTCAATGAAAGGCGAAGACAGTGTTTGTTGTATATGTTATCGAGGAGACTGGTCATACATGTATCTGACATCCAGCATATATACCGACCGTATGTCCTCGCATATGCTACCACATCATATGCGACATCAAGCATTGTTGTTATCGCTTGACTACGACAGACCCTTCAACTGGTTGTCCACCTGGCATTGCTCAGGCAGTGGTTGTGTCGTGAGTTCGCATCCATCGAATGTATGTTAATGTAAGGTCTCCTCGTCATATGATGTCATCAGTCATAAATAGTTTATCATCTTTGTGAGCTGTAATCTCAGATATCGACTTTTCTATACGCAGTAAGTCTCTGAGGTCTTTTATAGATTCTATAGATGTTTATCTGGTAAATTTGTAATCTCATTGATCTTAATATTCGGCATAGAGTATCTACTCACTTGCAGTGAGGCTTGCATGGGCTAAGGGCTAAGGACACCAGGTTTAAATCATGTGGCTCTTGGTTGGTGTCCGCTCCCGCAGTATGGCGCACCATGGCGTTGGCTGTCGCTTGCCTTGCTGTCCCCGCGCGGGGGGGGGGGGGGGGGGCCAACCAAAAAAAAAAAAAAGCTGGGGGGGGGGGGGGGGGCAGCGCCAAAAAAATAAAAATAGATTTTAGATTTTTTTATTTTTTTTGGCTCTGCCCCCCCCCCC